TCAGCAGGCAAGAAAAAGTTCCTTCTCAGGGGGATATATTGTTTTGTTATTTAATAGTTTTATTAAATTCTCTGGTCAAGACTTTTGGTTGAATTTTAGTTTTAATTTTATTCTTTATTTTCATAAAGGTGATTTAAATCTGGGAAATATTATTTGTGGACTTGGACATTGCTGATAAACACAAGTTGAGGGTTCAGGACCCTTAGGCCGCAAACGGCCAATTGTGCTATAAACTTATTTCACTAAAAACCTGATATTTGTGTTGGGGTCTGAGGACCTCTCACAAACTCATCAAAGTCTCCAAAGCACACTCCTCAGAATGACTTGCAAAACAATGCTAGTTTTTTTTTACAAGTCATTGTGGGCAGTAACTTTTATCTCATTTTGATGAGATCAGCTGATCTCATGATTTTACAAAATATGCAGCATTTGGAGGTGCAATTTGGGGGAGAGGAGAGCTTCATGCTTTTTTCCAGTATTCCTGTCTAGATTACATGTATAATGCCTTTATCTTCATTTGAATCATCTTGGGCATTGTAGCACATTATGTTTGCCCAGCAGCACTTGTGTCAACAATCATGGAACTAAATTGCGGAGTACTTGTTTGAAAAAATGTATTAACTCCGTTTTGAATCACTGTACTATACAGCATTGCTGTATATATTCTTCCATGAGGCCTTAGACAGCCTTTCGTCACCAGAGGACATCTACAATGTATGAAAAGTTCCAATGCCAATCAAAAGCATTTCAATGTTCTAAACTAAAGACCCAAGCAAATAAGGCCATAATCTTCATTTCAAAAATTTCCTATGTCAAACATTTCCAGTGCTTCTTGGTATAAGTTACTTGAGGATGTTCAACTACATAAAAGATCATTTTTTTAAATTTATGTCTCCATGCTTTTTGAATGAATGAATGTACAGTACATTTAAATTAGAGTATTACATTTCTTTCAAATTTCAAGGTTGGAGTTTTGTAATTTTTATGTAGTGTATAATACAGTACACAATAGGAAAACTGCTTAAAGGTTCATTTCCACTTTTTGAAGAGTATTTATTCTTTGTTGAGGAGATCTCTAGATATTGGAGATCCTGGATCCATGAATCAGAGAGAAATTACATGCTTGCATACTCCTTTATTACTGTTGACAGAGGTGGAATATTTGTTCATGATCAACCTATATCATGTTGATCATCCAAGCTTATTGTGGAAACCTGCTCACTTTAACCATTTTGGGCTCCACATACCTTATGCGTTAGTCATTGTGATGAACTTCAGTGCCTTACCCTCAAGTAACCTTATTTATTTCCATTTTTGTTGTTGAATGAACACTTACAACAGAACCAGGCTTGGCTGGATGTGCACCAGGCAAAGAAGTGACCATGGGGCCACCGGTTTCTGTTTGCCAAAATGTGTCCACTACAGGACACCGTTTTTCACCAACCACTTCATAGAACCAGAGCCAAGCAGCAGGGTTTATGGTCTCGCCAGCAGTGGCCAGAAGCCTCAGAGATTTCCTAGAATATCTGAAAATGTATTATGAGAAATTCGTCATTTTTATGCATATTTTGATGAGAATCAGAGTTTAATGTCTTTTGGGGAGCTAGGGCAGAACCAGAGTGTGCCGTGAAAATTGGAGAAAAATTGCAAGCAACAATATACAGTATTTGGAAAATTTGAGAGAAGGAAAGCTAAACTGAGTTTGCTTGAAAATTTGGCTGTAAAAAGGGGAAAATATTTATTTTTTCTTTCATGACAGCTGCTGGAAGCAAGAATTGAAAAAGCTATAAAATATCAATAAACGTTTCAAAAATTATAAATGCTAGGCAAGTTAAGTTTAGCTTGCATAACCTTGACTATTTTTAAGCAAATATAAATGTACCAAAAATGTCTCAAGGCAATGATCTCAGGATGAAATCTCCTTCATATTTGAAATATTGGCGCTTGAAAAGTGTCTAGAAACTTTTTGGACAACTTGTCCAAGTAATAAAAACAGGTGGACTCTCGCTACAACGATTTTGTCTGTACAACGAATTATTTTTAGTCTCATAGGCTTCTCTCTGCATGTCATAGGCCTTTTCAAAAACAAAATTCTTTCCACAACAAATGCTTACCTCGTTATTTGAATTTTATTACAGAGAGAGTCCACCCGTTTAACCTTAATATTTTCACTCAACTTTGGCCTTCAACCGAATTTTTCCAGCTATGTCAATTGCTAAACTGAGGGTAGGGGGGGCTGACGAATATTTTTCACTTTCAGAGAGAAAATGCAGGTATAAGGCAAACAATTATTGTCAGCAAATTAACTCACTTCTTGACAAGTGCATCTCCGAGCTTCATGAGTAACCGAATGGCAGTTGGCGCAGTGTACAAATGCGTAATTCCATATTTGTCAACAATATCCCAAATCCGACCCCCATGGGGATGTGTTGGCACACCTTCCAGCTACCAAAAGAAGATTCAAATTTCAAAAAGGATTGCTTCAAATATAAATTCAAATAAAATGTCTTATTTTATTTCCTTTTGTATATTGTATTATACTGTACTATATACAGACAACCCTTGCACAATGGACTTAATTCATGCAACAGACTATAGTCTGTTATGTGAAAAGTCTGTAATGCAAATTCAATTATTAGACATTCCTTTAAATGGAACAGAAGTGCATCATGCTGTTAATGTGGGGTGACGTGAGAAGAGAAAATTCAAAACAAGGAAACAGCTGCTGGGAGAAAACCTTGTGAATGTCAATCCTATTTCCAGGCCAAAAATCAACCAACAACCCAGAATGAGCGCAGGATTTATGCTTTCTTTGAAGGGATGAAAATAGCATAAGTCTAATTTTGTGAATCACAGTTCAATTGCAAGATCAAATAGCCTTGTGTCCGGTAAGCTGCCAGCCAGTCAATTCACGGTTGCGCACCCGCCAGCCGTCAAATGCCGGTCCCTCCAATTGCCAGCCAGGGCAGTGCTTGGTCTCTCCAATTCCCAGCCCACCAAACCACAGTCCGGTCACCCGATTGTCGAGGCACCCCAACAATCGGGTGACTAGGATCCCATTGATTCTAAAATCCTGGTTGCAGTGTCTTTCCAGTCTTTGGGAAGCAGAATGGTTTCCTGCAACAGATTATTTTTTTGCACAAAATTGCATCTTGTAAAAATTTTTGCAAAAAGAAAAAACTCATCAATCCCAACCTAACCTAACCTAACCTAAACTAACCTAAATTAAACCAACATAAATTGAACTAACCTAACATTGCTGAAATTTTGCACAAAAAAATCATCTGTGGCAGGAAACCATTCTGATCTTCAAACACTGCAAAACAGGATTTTAGAATCAATGGGATCCTAGTCACCCGATTGTTGGGGTGCCTCGACAATCGGGTGACCGGACTGCGGTTTGGTGGGCTGGGAATTGGAGATACCAAGCACTGCCCTGGCTGGCAATTGGAGGGACTGGCGTTTGATGGCTGGCGGGTGCGCGACCGTGAATTGACTGGCTGGCGGCTGACCGGGTACCAATGGCCTTGGGCCAATATCAAGCATTCTGCGGTCAATCTAATAAACATGAAAAAAGCGGATCTTACAAAAACAGAAGTTCCGCCATTGAGTAAAGGACCATAGACAACGCAAGTATGACCAGTGATCCATCCAATGTCAGCTGTGCACCAGAATATGTCCGTTTCAGGCTTGTGGTCAAACACATATTTGAAAGTAGTTGCAGCATAAAGCATGTAGCCTGCGACAGTGTGCATCACCCCCTTGGGCTTTCCTGTTGACCCACTGAAAAAAAGAAATATTAAATGCCAGAGAGAAATGAAAGTTCAGGAGGGTCATAAAGATTTATTTCTAAAAAAAATCGTTTTAGAAAATAGGCATGGAGATTCCAAATGATCCTATATTCAGTTTAAAGATATGAAGATGCCCTGGAAAAAATAAATGTGAATAGCACTTCCTTCTAAATCAATGTATTTATTTGCATTTGACTGTTCTTTTTAATGGAGGAACATTTTTTCCCAACACAATATTTGATGGAAAGACTAAAACTATAAACTGGAGAATTTCCACAAAATATATTTCATGTGTATTTTTCAACACCAAGTTTTCTCTTCAATAAGTTTTGCCTCTTTGATGAAGTTTTCATTTTTTTCTCATATTTATAGCACATATCAAATGCTTCCTGTATAGCCTATGCACAAAATCAGAGACAAAAATGTGCTAAAATGACATATTGCATCATAAAATGAGTTTGTTAAAGTATATATATGGTTTTTATAACATTGATGTGACTATTCAGAAAGTGCCAGGACCAAGAAATAGGTGTTATAGGTGGTACCTGGCAATTTGACCATCCCACAATTTGAAGGTCAAATTTTCTGGGACATTTAATTTGCACTTTGACCTCTTACCCCACAATTTTACCTGCAGAGAGAGAGAGAGACTCAAAAGGTAAGATTTGATATAGTTAACATCGAATTAGACATTGTCTCAAAATTTTACTGATTTACTATTCAACCCTTACCTGCCAACAAACTATATAGCAGTGCTGGTGCCTAACTCAGAAGTGGCCAAGGGCCAAATTTAAATTGTTGAGTGTTGATGAGGGCCATAATGGAAAAAGACACATGAAATGTTGTACAGTACATTGTGTAATTCATAAATTTCTGGGATGGTTGAAACTATTCCATTTGTCTATAATCAAGCTCAATGCAGAATTCAGGATTTTCATTATCTGACTTTTTC